CTATCGGCATGTGAATGATTTCTTATAATTGTAATTGTAGACAAGAACTCCAGCATATTATTTGGACATTTTTCGAAGGGATAAAATAAGTACAATTGCATGCATTAGTGCACTTGCCACATTTGGCACCCGACATCTGACCATAAGAGCAAACCCTTCAATTGGAACAACGTATAGCGGTGCACGGGAGTTGAAGTGCATTGATATAGAATAATATGCTGCCGACAAATGAAGCATAGAGAATAAGGTCGCGTAAAAGAAGAAAAAGCTGCTCTACAGGCGCTTTTAATGCTATTAACAATGGCAACAACACCTACAATAAAAAATTGCATAACTGCCAGCTACTTAGAGTCTTTAATGTTGAATTTATATGCATCCAGTTGAAAGTTTAAGTTTTAAAATTGTTGAAAATGTGAGTTTTCTATAGGTTGTTTGAAAAGTTTCTGCGCTTAAATTGAAAAAATTTTGTTTTTGGTACGAATAATTTTATGCCATCCCTATAATAACTTCCCGGAAGCTCTGCAAAATACCCGTCTACGGCTGTAATAGCTTCTTCATTCAAAGAAAAACGCTTTACACGAAGGAATTTGAGCTAGTAGTGCTATTTCTTGGTGAGCGCTTCTCACTTTCCAACCAACCTGTATGCGTGTGCTTAACTTTTCGGGGCAAAACAGCGATCAAAGGAAGTGCGCAGCTGTGTTAACGATACACTCCCCATGGTTGTTGCATACAGGGAAATGGTGCCAGTTTGTTGGCTGGCCTGAGGCGGCGTTCGAGTTGATCACCATTTTCTCGCAAACACACTGAATGGCATTTGGCTTTGTTTACACATTTTAGTAGTTTTGTCATAATTCCTACTTTATAATCTATATTGCAGTTGAAAAGAGACGCATTTGTTTATCAAGGGATAAATTGATGTCACTTGATAGCTGGTTGCATCTGAGTCTATGAAAGCGACTGGCAGCATGAGGGAGTTCGTGGGCGTACAACTTTTGTGTTAACAGGCCTGCAATGGCAAGCAACAACAAATGTGCCAATTCTTCTATTTACTTTCACTGTTTCTTATTGCAATTGAGTTTAGTTTGCTTGCGATGGCTTCTACAGTTGATTCTCTTATGTGCAGCACAATTGCTTCTGACTTGCAATACTTGACCTTTTGACATATACTACTATAGTCATTTACTTGCATCTGTTATATGTTACTTTGCTCTATGCCATTCCTAAAAAAAACTTTGCAGCTATATTTATGGTAATGTATAAAATAATAAGAATTAATGGGAAGATATAAAGTGAAAATAGCTCGAGACATCTGACTTGCATTATTTGATAATTAGTAATTAATTGGTCTGCTAATATTAACAGTAACAGCCAAATCTGAAATCAACGACTCAGGGCTTGGAACACTGCCTGTCTGCCATTAAATTACTTTTGGCCTATGGTATTTAGAAACTTGGAATATGTAGGGATACACAGTGTGCGAGAGGAATGTCGGTTTAGAGTGTTATCTTTCACTGCTGTCAATGTTCCAATCTAAAAGAAATTAGGCACTTTTGGTATGAATGACCGAACGTTTCTAGGTACGCTCACTTGGAAGAACTGCGAACCCCAAGATTGCTTAACAAACAATCAACAAAGTTTTTTCACCCTTTTTTTTATCTCAAATGGAAAATCAGTGCCACAAAACCCCACCTGACAATGAAAAAAGTCGCACCAATATAGTCACGAACAAGTGCTTTTCTGGCTATTAAGTAAGCAACTTGCTCATTCGAAAAAATAAACGCAAGAGAAAATATTGAATTTAAATATCAAACCAAATGCAATTACAATAGTAACATCGAACACAAATCGTAAACCGGCGGAAAATGTTATGAACAAAATGAAAATCTAATCTTGCATAATTTAGCGTGAAAAAAAGCACACATATGTGAGTTTAAGTAGACTGCAGAAGTATACATGTTACTCTCATTATTGCCTCTCTGTGTGGCACACAAAACTTAATGGTTTTTGAAGTCGTAAAAATGACAGACAAAAACGCTCATCAAGAATAAAGTGCCAATAAATTACAAACAATAATCATGCGCCTGCAACAAGTAATAGGCATTAGTAGCAGACGCGGTTGTTGCAACAGCACGGTGGACGTGGTATCCTCCCCGCGCTCAGCATGTCGCGGAACACCGTGTAATCTGCAGCATTCATTATTGATGTTATTAGTGATAAAAATCGGAGGCAAACGGTGGCTTGTAACAAGCATTGATGGGACCACTACTGCGACTGCATCAGCAGCAAGTCTACCGCATATATACATACATACTTAGAGTCATGCAGATCGTTCCGAAACGTGCCAGTGCAATTTTCTACCTTTGTTTTGATTTCTGCTACCTTCTGCGACTTTTCCTTTTGCTAGCATTGTCTTTTATTTTGCCAATTTTTTCAGCGCATTGCTATGTTTTCATCTTCCTCGCCCGCCATTGCTTCCGTTCGGTCGCCTATGTTATCTGTGTTCGTTTGCAAAAGGTGCTTGAATTTATGAAAGCGATCGCAAAATTACCATAAATTTTTAATTCGTATCACGGTAATGTCACTTAAGTGCGCAACAACAGCGCGACCTTAACTGCTTGACTTACTCGCGGCGGCGTGACGGGCTGAGTACCACTGAGCGGCCGTGACGTACCTTCTTTGCAGTGCTCAACAGCTGCTATGCCGTTGCATTGTTATTGTGTTGCATGCAATGTGTGTCTGTGGAAACATAAGTTAGCAAATTGCGAGGCGGTCGCTTAGCAAGTCCGCGGTTGACAGTGTTGTACACTGTCGCGAACGTGTGCCCAAACATGTGTTTACATCAAGATAACAGCAGATACCGTTAGCGTTAATGGCGCTCACCTGCATTCGAAGGTGATCAGTTCAACAAAAAATGTTCTCGTAAATATCGTAAATATGCATCGAATCAGACGTTAGTAGCCGCAAGACAATTTTGATTGTATACCTCTGCACATAGAGACCGTTGAGTGGGCCGCATTGAACTACAGGCAATCATTAGCTAATGGAACCTTATTTTGCTCTGTTGGATGTAATTTATGCTTAACGTTTTAAAGATATTTCATGCACTTTTCGTTGTGAAATTCTTTAAAAACAAATAACTTTATTTATTTTTCCTTTTAGACTAAATTGGATTCGTTCAAAATCTAAATTAATTCCCAATATTATGAGGTGTTTGAGATACGGATGGGTCAAAGCTTATGGAGAAGGTCATTGAAAGAGATAGCTGTCGCGAACCATCCATTAACTCCAGCTTGAAGCTTCCTGACCATTGCGACGTTCTTTAAGTAGAAATAGCTGTTATTAAGGAAGCAGTACAGAGAAGGCAATGTCCTCTCAAACAGTGCCGATAATAGACTTGAGATCATTGATCGTGCGCTTTAGGGTTAATAAGAAAAGCCTAGTCATACTATCAATGGCATTGAGTTACTTCATGAAAAGGCTAAGTACCAGGCCACAGAGTTATCGCAGGGAAAGGTACCTCAGCCTCACTCTTAATATAATGCGAGCGGGACAGAGCTCCACTGATTTCTTGCTGAACTTGACGGCCGCTGGTCAGCGTTAAGGTACTTGCTCAATTGTAAGACCTTTGTAGAGGCTTTAACTAGCATCTAGCACTATAAAATCTTATCGAAAACCAGTTATAGAAGTCGTTTGTAAGAATATCACCTCAATACTCGCTTTTTATACTCTTGCCACATGTTGCTACTGAATATAATAGTTTTGTTCACCTAACGGTTGTTTGTATCACCTAAAACTAATCGAGATATATATCGAGTTATAGAAAATGATCAGGATGACGAGACGAGTTGAATTTCGAGTGACTGTCTGTCCGTGCAAGCGATAACTTGAGTAAAAATTTAGATATATTGATGAAACTTGGCACATGGTACATATTCCTTGCCACCCAAGAGAGATTTATATTGAAAATGGGCGGAATCGGACCAATGCCATGCCCACACAACACCATTAAACGAAAACTTTTAAAGTACCATAACAAAGCTGCAAATTAAGATGAAAAACTTGTAATTTGGTACAGGAGATCGCATTCGCCAGGGACACCTGTGGGCAGTTTTTTAAAAGTGAACTACTTCGAAATATGTCTACGATAGGATTTTTAAAAATTTAAATTATTTTCGGAGTTAGAAACATGTTACTGACCCAGCCTGGTTCGGATGGATCTAATCCAACAAAAGACTTTACGCGAAACTTTAAATGCATATTTCTCAGACCAGGCTTTTTCAATACGACATCAGAGAATCTTCCTTATAGACCTCCCTAGCCCGAGTATGAACTAGGCTCATCCCCAAACTATACTATTTTAAAATAAATACGAGAAAATAAAAAGACACTTTAAAAATTACCTAAAATTCCTGTTTCTAGACTAGAATACCGCCTTGATGTACATATCTTTGAAACCGCTTAAACTATATCAACCAAACTTGCTGAAAAACAGTCATTTTATCACCTCTTTCATTCTGTGAAAATGGCTAAAATCGAACTATAACTTATGCCAAAAATGGGTAAAATCGGGTTTATACTTCCCTTAGCCAGTGTATCCTCTTTCCTTAAATGGATGAAGTCCCAGCTATATTTTCCTTAGTTTGATATAAAGTTTTGCCTAAACCTGAAGGTGTTCCTCCGCCCTTGAAAGTTGCAAAAGTATGAAATGTTCGGTTACACCCGAACTAAGCTCTTCCTTACTTGTTGATAATACTTCTTTCAAAGCTAAAACACATTGGATCTCACTCCTTCAAATATTTTGGTAAATCAGCGGGAATAGATATAAAATGTTTAAGCAGATTTATAATGGGTTAATCAAGGCACTGTTAAATATATACGAATATATAGAACCTAAAATAATCTATTCTGGGCTTTTTAATAAATACCCAACCAGGAAGTGGAAGATTCATAAGAATGATCGAAGGCGATATTAGGGTTTAGTCATTTATATTTTTACTCACATGTTTTTCTGGTCGCAATAGCACCAATCCGTTGGATACCCAGTTCTCGGCACGTTCGGCTGCACAGCGCCCATAACGACTCTGAATGGCAGCCGTGGCCGCTGCGGAAAGCAATTGAGGCGAGGTCTTCGAAGTTGGCGATGAACAGGCGCTTAGAGAAAGTGGACGTGTCGATGACATTAAATTATCCAAATCTCGTAGAAATTTATTTGCCCAAATATTCACATCCTCCTGTGTGCTGGCTGTGGTGAAGTCATTATCATTTCTGCCAGTAGCACATGAGTTAGAGTTACTTTCGTCCTGGTTGTTTACCGAAGTTTGGCTGGTGAGGCCGAGAGGTGGCGGTGGTAAGGCTTTGAGTTCAGTTGTAGTGCGAAGGCGAGGTGCGACAACCGTTGTGGATGGCATTGTAAGCTGGTTGTCATTATCAACACTTGTCGCATGTTGACTTGTAATTTCTGCAATGTTAGAAATCGCTTTTGCTGGCGCGTCAACTACATCGCACTGGGATGATCGATTATCGCTGCTGTGACAGTTATAATTAACAGCATCATAATTAGGGTCGGTTTTACTTTGGTATGCGGCATGTTGGTCGCCCTGCTGCATTTGCTGTTCGTGTTGTCGGGCGCGACGTTCCTCGAATACTTCATTGATTTCGTGCTGCAAGAGAAATTGTAAAAAGTGAAAAAAATTAAATAAATATCAATATTTTATCACTGTTAATTTGTTTACAACATTTAATAGCTCATATAGATTATACCCTTTAACACACTTGACTTGAAAAAAGCTTGGCATACTACTATTCTTTTTATTGAAACCTTGTTTCGTCTTTGGCTAGCCGCCATCTATTCTAATAGAATTCCTTCATTTCCATTTCTCAACTGTAATTTGTTTGTCATCTTTATCTAGAAGCAATATAACCACATACAAAAAAATACTCCAGGACTCAATTCCCTTTTGCTGCCTTGATCGGCTCATGCGCCGCGTTTTCCTGCACAAAGCCTGTGCGCAGTCAAATCTACCCACTATCAGTCTCCGACACAACGGTCAATTTATAATAATGCAATAGAAATCTATAGGAAATAAATTAGAACGTTGCGACCGAGATTGACAAGACAATGATAATATAAAAGTATGACAAGAATAAGATAACACCGCCAGATCAACAAATTGCAAGAGGTGAGCATTCCGCCAATCGGCATTGGCATAAGGTGGCAACAAAAGGACGGTAATAAATTTGCAAGTGCCACACAATAGAGCAACAAGAAAACAGCAAGCTCATTGAAAAAAGAGAAACCCGTAACTAGCAACTCGCACTTTGGTCCCCAACGCGTTTCGAGTTTACAAAATGCGTCAGCATCAATAGTTCGTTTTTTATTTCATCGGCATTTGAAGAACCTGACAGCGCTACTCTTATTTACTTTTAATGTCTTGTTATTAACCTTTTTTGTGCGACGGTGTCCTATTAAATTCAGCGCCTTATTTGTCTTGCATCGACGTGATTAATTTATGAGGTGCAAGCGATTGCTAATTTGTTTAGTAGTTTGATTTAAGTCACTGCTTTATTTCGTGGCATTGTGCCCATTGTATTTGATGTGCCGCTACTTACAGTGCTAACCAGACAACAAGTTTACCACCAACCGCTCATGTGTGTATGAGTGAGTAGGAAAGGCCTACACACATTGGATATTATGGTTTGAATGCAGCAATTAGTTTTCGAGTTCGGTGACGCTTCACCTCTATGAATGTGGAGAAAGCTTGCCCTATATCGACATATTAAAGTTTTTGTGGTGATGTTGACTGCTTTCAAAAACATTGTTGGGTGAATTTGGTATTTGTTTTGGTAATAAACTAAATTACATTTTTATTTTAAAATTTCTTTCGAATATTAGTAGAATTTATAATATAATTTATTGCTCCAAAGTCTAGTTAATAATACTCCTTCGGGCCTTTAATATAAATAGTACATCAGAAAATTTTTAACAATACATTATTAGCACGCAATAACATATGCATCATAATAAGCAAGAGCAATACACACATTTAATTTCACGCACTCATGAACAATGCAAACAAATGGCAACGCAGCAGTCGCAGCAGTGACCATAGTGTCTGCAACACTCGCCTAGTAAACGCAGAAACTCTTCGCCCGACCATCGAACCGGCAAAGCAACATCAGCGCTGCAAACAATGCTACAGTTCCCAAAGCGCACCTATGCCTGGGTGGTCTGCTGGTTGTTTCTTGGCCAATTCCCATATAAACCACCGGGATCCAAATGGACGTTGGTGTATTCGTTACTGATACTGATATAAAAGCAACTCGAAGATGTTCAGTAACTTTCAGTTTCGTGCAAAAACGCTTCGAAACACCACGTCGTGCGCGTTAGTGGTGTTTGAAAAAGAATAACCGGGTACACAATTTGTGGCCACAATAAACAAGAACACCAAGTGGACACCAGAGGAAGCAAAAAACAGAAAGTAAGCAGCACAACAGCGGGTGGGAAGCCGTGCTGGCATTTTCGCTCATTTCAATTGCTTGTTCAAGTGTATGCATGTGTGTGTTTGCAAGAAGGAACCGAAAACCGAGAAACGGCATGAAGATTACGCTTCTCGTGCTCCTCGCCACGCTTACGGCTTATTGCGGTGCATCGGTATTATCTTTGCCACCATCGCTTATCGCCACAGCGGCATCCTTGGCACGGCACCATGTTCGCCAAACACGAGACAGCCACGGAAGCGCTACCATAACAGCTGGTGCCACCACGATTCATTTACCACAGCAGCACAATCATCCCGTTGCATATCCGCAGCCGCTTCAATGGCAGGCGGTGCGTCCGAAGAAGGACGCAACCGGCTTTCGATTAGGCAGCAATATTGCCACAAATGGCTACACTGGCACAGACACCAGCAGCGATGATAGTCTAGGCCTGCTCAGCATAGATAACAACAACAAGGTTAGCGGCAATCTTGCAGATGGTAAGGATGCATATGAAAGTCGCAGCGGCAACGGCATTCGAAAATTACCGGATGAATACAATATAAATGCGCTACTGGCAGGTGCCGCTGATCGCTTGGAATGGCAAAATGAAAATGCCCAACAGCAACAACCACGATCAGCACAATGGTGGCATATACAAGCACCGCGGATACGCGCTATGCAGATGAAGGAATTTTTTACGCCGCTCAAGTATTGGGCTCACCATTGTCAGCCGCCTGAACACAACTGTCCGCAGGAGTACTACCGAGCGCTGCTCGCTGACAGGTGAGAAGCGCAAAGCAAAAAGGAAAGCAGAGGTCTACGTACTTCACGCTGTGTAGTTCATTAAAAATATGTTACCGTTTTAGGTGCGTGCGCTGCCTAATTGGATCTCTTATGTTGTTGCGATTTGTGTTTCAAGAATTTGAGTCTGTAAAAAGCCAAAATCAACGTGCACGCACTAAATAATTTCTATAGACCGCTTCAAGGTTGCAGTGAAAGTGTTTCGTGTGCGAGGTATCTCAGTTATTTCCTTTCTGTTTCAATATATTCGCTTAATCCATAAAGTGTTCGAGGTTGGCGGACACTTGCTTGATTGCTGGTATTGAAATACGTATTCGTATTTTTTTAAGTAATTTTATTTAATTGATACCTATCGAATGTGGGACTTGCTCCACCACTTTACCTTTCCAGACGTCTGTGCATCTACACTTTTACAGTCGTACTGTAAACTATAGTCGCACCGAAAACTAGTTATCATCCTCAAATTTTTTGTACAACTCAGTAATTTCGATTTTACCATCAAAAAACCGTATTATTCGAGAAGTATTAGAAAGCATAAGTGAGTGATACTACATAAATATTGTATGGCAAGCTGAGGTTGAGAGTATCCTCTCTTCATATCCACGTCTGATCTATGGTACGCTGAGATTGAGGAGCGAAAAACTTTGGCTAAAATTCTGGTTCACAAAAATTTAAGATCTGATTTATGATTGCGTTTATCATCATTTCACATTTTAATAGAAATTTTCTTGGTGTTCGTATATTACTGAGAAAATTTTTGTTTTAAAAGGTACTTATATACCTTTAGCTCTGATTTCATGCCACTGTGGACTTTACAACTGTGCTGCAACTACTCTAGCATGTGAGGTAAACCGGAAATTACGTGCTGCAGTTTGTGAACTTTTAGCTCGCTACTGTTCGACTGTGTTTGAATGTATGTGAGCGCTTCCAACCGAAATCGAAATGAAATTTCACTTCATTTATAAAACCCAAAACTTCATCAAAACCATATGTCCTGTCAATCAACTTACACATACACACATATGTACACATATGTATTTTAAACGCCCTTGTGTCTGTCTATAATTGCACGATTTTATTTTTGGAACACTGGTATTTGATACTGTACGCGTGTGCACTGACACAGTACTGTTACTTGTAGTTCGTTTCTTCAATAAAGTCATTCGTCACTTTGGAATTATCTTCAAGCGTTATCGCCGATAATTTTTTCGCAACAGTGAATTAATTAATTTTTTGTTGTTGAGGGGTCGTCGATATCTTATCATAACGAACGGTGCCAATTTTTTTTTTATTGTTTTGGATATTTCCTATTATTAAAGTAATTTCTCATTTTATTTTCCTTTTCGTTTGTGCGCAACTAAATTCATTACGGGAGAATTGAGGTCATTAATTTAGGCAAAATTATATATTTAAAAATGTAGTAAATCGCCTTTGAATAATTGAAATGAATGTTGAAATTTTAGCTGTCCAAACATAACACCCCTGACATTTTTCTGTACATTCGCCTTCTTTTAATGTGTCTGCACCAGTGGAAAGCGGAATCACTAACACTGGACTTATACAATTACATTTATCTCTTGTTTTCTATTAATCACCCACGCGTAATCACCGGTAAGGAAGTTTCGTTACAAATTCCGATAGAATAAAAAATAAATTTGCCCTAAATCAAGAACAACTTCATCAGTGCAGTAATAAGTAATAAGCAGCGTACAGAACTCTATAAAAGGCACATCCATATCGTATTGTAAAGACATGTGATAAGGTCCTTGAAGAATTAACTATCTCTGAATGAAGACATCTCGTCAAATGAAAAAGCTTTCCATACATGCACTTGATTCCGATCGTTCAGTTTGTATGGCAACTATATGCTATAGTGGTCTGATATTGGCCGTTCCGACAAATGACCAGCTCCTTGGTGAGAAAAGGACGGGTGAAAATTTTCAGATGGACATTTCCAAAACGGAGGAACTAGTTAACGTATGTAATGTATATTGCATTATAATATTGGGTGTGGTAAAAATCTATTTATTTTTGATTGAAATTGAACATAAATTACCATAGTTAGAATGATCCGTTTTAGGTCAAATATGCGCCGCTTTGTTCCATAACTTACTGCCATTTAATGGGTAATTTTATTATGCCTCTCTAATAGAAGCCTTCCTTCAAGTTCAAGTTCAAGCATCTCTTGAAGCGAATTATTCATCAGCAAAATTGTTAGCCATGGACAGGAGCAGATGGTAATCACTTGTTGCCAGTTCCGGACTATAAGGTGGATGCATAAGAACCTTCCAACCAAGCTCCCGGAGCTTCTTGCGAGTCACTATCAATGTGTGTGGCCTGGCGTTGTCCTGATGGAACACAATTCTTATCCTATAAGCCAAAGCTGGCCGCTTTTGGGCGATTGCTTCCTTCAGACGGTCCAATTGTTGACAGTACAGTTCCGAGTTAAGATTTTTGCCGTATGGGAGCAGCTCATAGAAGATAATTCCCTGTCAATCCCACCAAACACACAGCAAAACCTTCCTGGCCGTTAATCCTGGCTTGGCCACCGTTTTCTCCGGCTCACCTCGTTTCGACCACGACCGCTTTCGCTTGACGTTGTCGTAAGTGATTCATTGAACTGAATCAATTAATCACAAAACTGTCAGAAAAACTTTTTAGTACGAAATGTCATATTTCTAACGCCATCTAGCGGAACCCGATCGGATTTATACAACGGGAGATACAGATAAATAACCCCATCTATTGGAAACATAATGGATCTTTTTACTACACCTAATATAATATGAGCATACAACAACAGACAGACTGATCGACGGATTTCCAATAAGAGTGATATGAGATTAAAAAAAAACACAAGGAAATTCAAATGTTTTTTATTTATTGTGAAGTAAAATCGAGTACTTTTTCCACTAAATCAAGTCGGATGTCATGCACTAGCACTTTCGATATTGACTTTTAAAGCTTGAAGAGTGTCTGGTTTGTTGCTTAAGATCAATGACTTTAAATAACCCCACAAGAGGTTGTCTAATGGTGTTAAATCACAACAGGACATTCAATGTCCCAATTCCTTGAAATTATTGATTCTCCAAACTTTTCTCCTAATAATTCGGTAGTTGCAGGTGCTATGTGCATATGTGCGTAGCCCCGACTTGTTGTTGTCAAGATAAATTTCTTCCCTTGGGTCTATAAAAAGTTGGTTATCACCGATCTATACCACTTCCTATTGTCACCACTTCGAAAGAACTAAGGTGTGATTCCTCCCGGCCAAACACCACAGTAAACTGTTAATTTTGGTGACCCAAATACTTTCTCAAAATCCGCCAAGTTGTGGTTTGAGACAGTCCCAATTCTTGAGAATATCTTGGAATCGATTAACTGCGGTCTTTAGCAACACTTGCCGAAACGGCACTTAGAAAGCATATCATCCCATTTGGAAAGCCGGTACTTTAAATGGTCTCTGGCGTTGCCTTTTGGGTGTTACATCATTATCAATTTAATTCTAAAAAAGCAGTTAGTTAATCACTATATTGTATGGCAATTTGAGAACAATTAGTGGTTAATTTCATAAATCGTCCAAATAGCTCAATTAAAAATAGTTTTGAACAGGCTTTAAGTTGTAAAAATAAATATTTTTTTACTAATTCTTACTGATTCGCTTAGCTACTCTTAAGTTTTTGGAATTATTGCACAAAAATATTTTTTTTCTTAAACTGTATGTATGTATTTCAATACATAATAAAAGCTTGAGTTTAATAAGGTCAATCATAAGTTACTAAGAATGATCTGACTAGAAGAAATTTAAATTTTTAATGTAAAAAATATTTTCTAATATAATATTTTGTATTTAAAATAGTAAAAAAATTAAGCGTTGACTTGCATTATTTTGCTTATTTTTTTTAACTTTTGTAATATAATAAATACATAGTTATAAGTCCCTTAAATTAATTATAGTGTGAGGTCAATAATATAATTTGGAATAATTTAATAAATTTTTATAGTATATTTTTAATTTTTATCTTTTAATTTTAATTTTTTTTGTAGTAATTTTTGTTTTTTCTTTTTGATTTTAGTCTGCTTATGACCGATGGCGCCTGCAATATTAAGCGATAAGTTATCCGCGGACTCGTAATTACTAAGCCGATTATTGGAGTGTCAACGAAGCCATATACTAGGTGTGACATACAAAAATATTAAGCTAAAAAGCAGGGATAATTATAGCTATGCGATAGAACTTAAATAATATAATTATATTTATTTTATTTTCATATAAGCGCGAGACAAGTGCACTTCAAGCGTTATCAATTTTTTGAATGGTCATTTGTTTTTAGATAAGCTATTTGTTGTAAACTTCGCCTCTTTCTTTCCTATAAATGCAAGTTTCACGTTACTGTTTGCGGTCTTAGAAAATACTAATTCCAGTATATTTGTTCTAACTTGAATAAAGCTGATCCAAAAAAAATCTGCCATCTTTCCTGATGTATAAAATTTCACTTTACTACCTCCTTATATAATTTTTAATATTTCTGACTTCTTTTAGAAAGAACTCGGAATAAGAAGATAACGATAATTATAACGCCAACTTATCCGCACTAATAAATAGAAGTGGCAAGAGTAGACTGACTGAAACAAGTCTGCAGCTTCCATTGCTTTTTTTTTTTCAAAACTACTCCTCGTATGAATTTACAGCCCACACAATCATACAAACGCATCCATAAGTCAGGGAGTAATTGAAACCACAGCCCACGCAGCTTTTTCAGCATTCTCACAGAGCGCATCCGCAGCGCAAAAAACCGGCGCGGAATCCTTTTAGCGCATCACAATTGAACATATTTATTACCTAATGTGGCAAATGAAATAAAGTAAGGCTTGAGGCAAGCACAGAGGGCGGAGTGAAAGCGCACAAAAACTGTATAGATTTAAAGTTGGGGATAGATTGTCTTCTGCTATTTGTGGGCAAATGAGTACAATGGTTTATTGGGTATGGCCATATGTGGCGCAATATATTGCTGCAACATAAGTTTTGATGAGGATTGCACTTTCATGAATTGACTAAAAAAAGAACTATGAATAAATATGCTGAATCGAAGCGCGGAGGCGGCAACACCGGCTTTTGCTGCACGTTATTTTATATTATGGACAATTTTTCATTCAATCATGGTTTTGTTTCATTTTATGCCACCAACTATGCCTTTGCTGCGCCGCAACTTGCAATCATGCATTGCACAATCGATATTGCTTGACCGCAGCGTAGAAGCCGAGCGGCCGCTGCAGAAGCTAAACTAATGGATGATTTCACCGCCAGCGACGGTGAGGAAGTGAAGGTGAAACAACTAAACACCAGCGCTAGCGCTGCCAATGAAGATGATGATGTTAACGTGAACGCGCATGTATTCACCCAAAACGATGACGGCGGCGGCTTCTATGATTCTATGGACAACATTAATGATGATGACGCTGTAGATAATGTCTACAACGATGCTGATGCAGTTGCTGAAATGTCGTACGATGAAGATGAAGGCGGCAATGCCGGCAATGACATTTTAATGCTGCTCAGCGGCGAACAAGATGTCATGAAATTCCTGAGTTGGGCCATGGAGCAGCTCTATCCATATCAGCATTTTGTACGGCTGAATGGTAGTGAGCGTGCGGAATACTACCACCCAGGCATGTTCAACTGGAAGAAATTGAATTTATCGGGACACCTCGAACCACCTTTGATGGTGGAGGAGCCGCAATATGTAATTGTGCGGCGTGAGCAGTTGGAAGACGACTTGCCACCAGGTGGGTAGTATGCATATATGTATATTGTTTTAGCTGCAAGTTGTATGTGAAGGGGAGAGTGGAGTTAGTTATAGGTAGCCTGTACAAGATATTTACGCTGATTACATATTCAGGGCATGCAACATTTTCAAAATTGCCATATACGAATAAACACATATGATATCTACCATATGCTGCGTTACTACATTATGCGAATGCCTGATCTGCGATCTGCGGTCCGACGTGGTGCGGTGCTGCATTACACAATTTTACTCCTTCATGTGCCGCTGCTCCCTTAATGTAATTCTCATGTTAGACCCAGTTTCAGCGCAAGTGTGCCTTTACAGCGCCGATCACCTCTTATACACAAGGCCCTATATACTTTTGTGTACATATAAGTATATTGTATATGCATACATATAATTGAATATATGCCACAGTTTTGGTGTCATGCTTCGGGGTTAATTTAAAATGCATGTTGCGTATTAAAGTTATTAAATATGTTGAAGCGAGAAAGAAATAAAATTAAAGTAGGTTTTCAACATAAAAATATGCTGCACAGTTGTCTGCGCTTTTTTGGTAAACATATTTTCACGATAATGTTTGTGAGAGTAGGAAAAAATAGTTGGTATTTCAACAAAACAAAAATAGAAAGTAATGCATACAGCTGGACTTACTATTTCAGTTAGCGGAGTCGGATGATGCGACAAGTTTTTCAAAATTAAATGTGGGAATGGGCGCAGGAAAGACACAGTCCTACTCTCGCATGCATATGCTTGTACAAGTCTATCTTAAAACAAGTAAGAAAGGGCCAAGCTTATACTATCGCATTTTAACAAGATCAAAGGCGAGGAAACACTTCCAGATGCTAAAATTTTATATTAAAAAATGTTGAGAACAATTTAACATGCATTATTCGAAAAAATTGAAAGCATTACAATCTAATTCGGTATCTTATTAACTTGTATTATAGGTCATACACTCACTTAGTTTCCTTACTACACCTTGCATCTTCGAAATATTAATATTATTATCTACTTTATGGTAGTTACAGACACATATGTATGTAACTACCATCTATAAAATAAACTCTATCAAAGGCGCTAAATTTAATATAGCGGTATATTAAGAAAACATTAACCAAAGAATGGGAAATCCTAATATCATTTTAGACGAATATAGAATTGTATGTATTATATGGCAGCTGGGGTAATTCGTGGACCATTATTACACATTTTCGACATTAAGCTACACTATATGCAATATAATACTTTCATTTAATTTTGTCAAGATATTTAACGTTTTTTAACCCCACTTTATCCAGTTATGGTATTACGGCATATGATTACCAGAGATAGAGGCTCTCTGAATTTTACTAAGAAATAATATATATAATACAAGTATAATATCTAAGGTGTAAAGTCAGGCGGATGATTGAAATATGTATTAGGTAAATGAACACTAGGCAAAGCATTGACCTGATTTCATCCATTTTACGCAAGAGGATAGATACACTGATAGAGACTCTTTCTAAATTTCATTCATAAATTTCTTATATTATATATTAAACGATGGATACGGTAAAAAGTCAACTCAAAGTTCCAAAAAATTACTTCACACAACAACACATTTAATTAACTAAGCCTTTAAGCCACGAGAAAAGTACTTATTCTCACATTATAAGGTTTTGAAATGAATGGAACATACGGCACTTACGAGTTCACATTTCTTGACATTTATAAAAGTATTCTTCATTCTTACTATTTATTATATATTTATTTAATTCTATATTCACGAATATGCTTTCAACAGGAGAGGGAACAGAGAAAAAAAATTAAGTCCGTTCTGAAGACAAAACATTTAATTTTGCAAATTTTCTATTCTATAGTTTATATAGTAAAAAGTTCAGAGTTCACTTTTATTTTTTTTTATTATACATTCCTATATATTATTCTTATATATTATACATATCTATGGAATTGTTTCAAAACTTTTACAACTAATTTTTCTTCTCAAACTTGCAAACTATTAATGGCCAAACTTATCAAAACACAAACACCGTTGTGTAAATTTGAACGAAATGCAATAATGATATAAAGAAATAAATTACTAAAATTTCAAGTCGTACATAAATGAAGAAGTGAATATAGAACATAATTGAATGATATTTGAATGTATTCTTATGTTCGTGAATTCTTACATTTCTCTTCAAGGCATACGCATCGAAGACCGCAAACCGAAGCAGCGCAGTTCGCTTTTTCAGAGTATTTTCAATCTCAACCACGGTAGGTTTAGTTATACTCGTATTTGACACTGACAATTTCCTTTCAAAATATAATTGATAATGCGCTCCATAAACAATAAACAGAAGCTGCACAGCATGCCTAATAAGCGCTTAAGGCTATGTCTTCATATGTGTGATTCACTGATCTCATAAAAATCACTCAGGACCAGGGCATAAAAGTGAAGTGCGCATTTTGTTGCAGTCACACACATTTGATCATCACACATCCACAAACACCTAAAATAATAGACAAATCACACGAACGACAACTCTTTTGTCAATAGCTTTTCAGACACAATTTCATGAAATGATCGAAATCAACTATTTCGTTACAAGTCAAAGCGTAACACTCGTTTGCCACGCCTTGTTGGTTCATCACTTTCTAGTTTAAGTTTCTGATTTTAGCGCCTGCTTTGCACTCACCGTAATGCTCATACAAATTGTTGGCATTTTATTTTTATTATTTTCAAAGGCCCACAGTACAAAGACGATCCATTTATACCACCGCGCGGCCGCAAACACAATTTGCCCGATCTGGATGCATTGTTGAATCGCTACGAAACGTTTGTGCCAAATCGCGGCAAACGCGACAAAATCAAAGACATTTTCAAGTATGACGACCTATTTTTTCCGAATCGCGGCAAAAAGCATAAGCCGCCAACGACCGCAACTGTGGCGCTGATCGAACAGCTACAGCATAACAGTGACGACAAAGCGAACGATATGAATGCGATTGACAACCTGCCTGAAGGCAATGTTGACACTGGTGGCCAGATTGATGGGAGAAGAACGCTGCTGTTACGCAATCAAGTTGATAGCAGCGATGACAGCAATTTGACAGCGTCGCCTGCTGCAGTTGCTATCAGTCGTCTATTGGCTGGATGGATGAAACGCTTGCGACCGCATGATGGAACACAGAGAAGTGGCTTTGACAAAAACAATGATGACAACAGTTACAGTGAAACAATTGACAGCGATGTTGCAATTGCTAATGGCTACAGCAGCGGCAATGGCGAACTCCCTGCCAGGATTGCGCGCTTACGCCGCTTGCCAACTGCAATCGGTGGCATAACACGAATGGCAGCAAATCGTTTGATCTCAATGCCTCCAACAATAAGTTCTGCAGAACGGCAGCAAAACAAGAGGCCAACCAGACGGCAAGGGCGCTTACCACAACAACAAGCAGCAATGCTTCGGTATTTTATTCGACAATTACGGCAGCAGCATGCCCAACGACGCGATAGCTGGCAATTGCCATTGCTATCGAATCAGGTGCGAACTAACAATAACGATTTAGATCTGTTGACATGGCGACAGCAACAACAAGAGAATAATAATAAACCTTGGACAGCACCACATCCACAAATCACATGGCTGCAACACTCACAATTGCAACAAGAAAAAATAGAGCAACCAAAAGGAGAACGAACCGAACACCATCGCCTGCAACGTTTGTTTGGCGGTATAGCCGCAGGGCGCAGCTCTCGAGAGACGAAAGATATTGGTGGCATATAAAGTTTAATGTTGCCACTGGTGGCTCCATTATTCTTGCTCATTGCCTTCAGCACTCTTGTAACAATCGAAATTTATTACAGAAAATATCACTAACATGCTTTCGAGAGAAAAACCACTGAAACCAATTCTGACCCACGGTCGAAATAGAGTTGAAAATTAGTAGAAGCGTCAGTAAACGAAATGAACCGTTCGTCAACACTAAATAATAAGCTAAAATGCACTTAAACGTATATCAACGCATTGTATTTATATGTATAAACATTTACTGCATATGCTCCCCACACATATCTCGATGTATTCATATGAATTATTGGAAAATTTCAATTAAAGTTCTAACTGTAAGCAATTGACCTCTAAGTCACATAATTAAGTGTTAATTAATTATTAATTTGACTGGGTGGGAAATAAGTAAGTATATTTCTCTGTGAAACGATTTAATTTTACCCGATCATCAGAAGAGAGAAAGAAGGTATGTAAATACCATATATGTACATATAAAAATGTGACAAAATTAACGATAATTTTTCATAAATTATTATGTTTTTAATTTTTTCATATGTCCACGGTGGGACGGAGAGGCCCAGTTAGCTTTTCACGGATGAATCAAAGTTCAATTAGGAGGTTGGAGAGGGAGTCTCCAGGCAGGATTTCCCCTGTTTTTAAGCAATGGGGTGGATCAATGGTCATCGCGCGAATTTATTAATTTATTTCCCTAAAAGAACTAACTTAACATATCATGGAATAATATAAGTATTGAACGCTTCCGAAAACTAAAAATGAGTTATGACTGGTAGTAATCTGGTTTTCTTCCTAACAAAAAAAAAAAAAGGGAGTAAGGAAGGGCTAAGTTCGGATGTAGCCGACATTTTATACTCTCGCAAAGCAAAATGGCATACTCGTTTGAGAAAAAAAAAAATTAAAACTCACTGGCTGACATATTCGGCGTACAACTGGTTAGAATAACGAACAGAATTTTAAGTAGCATATAGAAGTTGAGGTTAGTATTAACCCAATTTTATCAATTTTTGTCAATACCACATACTACTAGCATTCCACAGGCGAATAAAATTCTCCCACTCTTTCATTAAGGTACCTCACATACCATCACTAATCATATGGATTAAAGTCAGCCGGAGGTTCGAAAATCCTGATATTAGTTACATGAAGGTTAGATAAAATTTTCACCCGATTTCATCCATTTTAGACATAAAGATACCTTGTCATGAGTATAACACGCTCTCTCATTTTTATTGAGATAACTCACATATTGGCCGATATATGCGGTATAAAGTCACCCGGAAGTTCAAAAATCTTTATATTATATTAGGTACATATATGAGGGCTATAGGAAGTATTGATCCGATTCAACCAATTTTTGACACAAAAACATTTTATTATATGAATCAATCATTGTTGCTTGATTTGCATAGTGGAAAGTGAAAGAATCAGATGGAATTTAAAACGGTGTTATTTGGGAAATAGGCGTGATTCTAATCCGATTTTACCACTATAACATAGAAATATGAGAATAATGTTAAGTACCGAATTTGGTTGAAATCGGATAAGCAAATCCCAATTAATGGATTTTCACCTAAAAGTGGGCGGTGCCACGCCCACTGTCTAATTTATAACGCGGTTCCTATACCATCCCATAGATAAAATTTAATGTCTCTGGCGTGTTTAGTGCTTGATTTATCGGGCTTTTAGTAGTTTGTAGCAGTATCGTTATATGGGGAGTGGGTGAAAGTTTCATTAAGATATCTCGTTAGGTGAACAAAACAAAACTATTATACTCTGTAGCAATAGATTGCATAATCAGTTACAAGAGCCCAACTATTGCTCCTTTAGGCAATGCTAAAAAACTAACCTCAAGGATATTAGAATCAAATAAGAAAGGAAATGAATTTTTGTTGTTATCAATGGCATTACCTTCCTTGACACTTTTTGAATAAACACATGTTCATGGCCCGTTTTTTCAATATTCAACGTCGATTTTATCTACAATCTTCCAGTTACCTACATATGTTACACCACTTAAGGTACGTAAGTACATATGTTACTATAAGGGTTCATTCATTCAACCTTTAGCTCACACTTCGGTCACATTTTGTTACTGCTTTATACGCCTCCATTACTAAAATTGACATGTGTAAGTATGTATGAAAGCATGCCCGCAAAGCGGTCGTTCGCCATTTGAAATCTATTCGACAAATCATAGTTTATCTCATGAAAGATAAGTCATTACGCGAACGACACGCCGGATCTTCCTTTAAGACTGAATAAGATGATAAAAGTCAATACCCTTTCAAGTGTTAGCATTGCACCTGACTGTATGAGTGAGTATGTAAACACAGCAGCTGTTACGAGTCCACCGACTTATGCCTCATTTGCATTATTTTACTGTTTGCTCTCGTTTACAAAAATTTTCAGTAAAAAGTTTAAGAGTTTTAAGAATCGTGTATACTATTGTACAATGATCTTAGATCCGTCATTTGATCAGCTCCGCTGCAACAACACGACCAAACAAATACGTGCAATTACTGCTGCAGCTTTTCTTGCCGTTACTTTGTGCGCATCTCTTATGGCAACGGTTCAATATCTTCCGCCTGTAATTTTTGTAACCCTACATCTTCATAACAGAAGTGTGTATGTATGTAAGTGCATAGGTGTGTGTATGGGCTATAGAGCTTGTGTGTGAGATGGCCTTCTATGGTGATTTTCTCAAACATTTCCAGTGTTTTATTTGTATTGTTTTGTTTTCTTGTAATTCATTTTTAACAATTTGTTTTTGCTTTGTTTTGGCTCCTTCAAAGTATTGTTGATAATCGATAGCAACGGTCAGTTTGGCCTTTCACAGCATCCGTATAAGAGCTGGCTGTTATTGTTGTTTTGAGTTTCGTATATATTTGCCGGTCGTCATCATTCAATTGTAGCCTATGGCTCAAGTGGTGGCCCTGGGAGAGCCAACTGGTCAATGTCAATGTCAAGATGGAGTTGTAAATATTTGAAACCGTTTGGCTTATTATTGGATTTTGTTAGCTTAGCTAATTTTGTCATAAGCATTGACGGCTGAAACATATGAAGGAAGGCAATAAAACAGTGGTTACAACTAGTCTTTTAATTAAATTACTCATGAATTAATTATTAGTTGGTTAGTTTGTATGTATGCAAACTGTAATTTAACCTTTTATCAAATAAATACACACCAACTAACGTTGTAGGAAATTTACCATTAAATTGTCAGCTGTTGTTAGCTGATACAACTATTAATCACTGATCCGAAGTTGTTGACTCAGTAGGTAGCACCATTGTTTTCGACAAAATTAAACTAGCTAATTACCCTTGACCTAATTTCAGTCATACTACCCTAGACTTTGCTTAAGAGCTGAGTAGCAACATGTTTTTTGACAGCTGTCAAATTTTAATAGTTTAAGCTAAATTGCGTTTTAATTGTCTTGACTAATTCGAGTATATAAACATGATACTAGTTAATCGTAAATATCTTTTAGTTTATGCAAAATCATATTTTTCTCAAATCAAATAATAATTACGACTTTAAGATCTGATCAGTTTCAACGTCTGTAAGCGTTTTTTGCTGTGAGATAGTTGGATAATTTCTAAATATTTTTTTAACACCCTTCTTTACTATTGGGCTATTGGGGCCTATTCTAGGATAACATTTTTCTGAGTTTCAACGTCATGCCGTGAGGACATGTGACTAACTAGTCCTTAAAGTTGATAAACGAGAAGTCATCTTAATTGAGTGGAGTTTTGATATATTATAGTGGTATATACTCGTTAGTACAAGTATGTTTTTAAAAGTATGCCGAGATTTCTGGCAACTGTTCATAAGTGAAGATGAAATATTTATTTAGCACTATTTATACCAATTGGAACGTGTGTTTAAGTTATTTTGAATACCTACATACTTCCGCTAGCTCAGACTATTAGAATTTTAAGTTAACGAGTAACGAGTAATTTTCATAGTGGGATTCGTAAACGCGGGGGTGTGATTTGAAAGCTAATTAAGAGATTAAATGAAAACAAGAAAAAACAAGGTGACCAATCCACTTTTAAAATTTGCAAAGGATTAAAATAAATGTGAAGTTGCTCGCTGACACTCGAACTATAAAGTGTCACTTGAAAGACGCGGCGCTTTGTTGAAAAGTTAACAGCGCACAAGTGTCAGACTTAAATAACGCGCAATGGCTGTAACAGTAAAATTTAATTGAGCCGATCGTATTTTATGAACAAACGCCAATGTCGCACGATGAAATAGTCAATTAAAAGAGTGAAAAGTGAAAAAAAAGAAAGGGAAAGGTGCAGCGCATCGCGATAGGCAAAAACTCGGTGGAGGTTAGAGGGGAAAACAACAATAACAACATCTGAAAATAATGATTTGGTGAAACACAAACGTCAAGTATTTTCACAGCCATATCAAATTGCGTGCGCCGTGCATGTGAGCCTCCAAACAGTGACACAGACAGTCGTGTGGCATATAGCTGATATGCAGCGTGGTGTGATGTGTCGAATGTTGAACGAGTGCGCCACACACTGACAACGTTAAGCCAACTAGATTTGCTTTACTCGCGGTCGCATATGTTTCTATTGTATTTGAAGCAGATTGTTGTTGCTGTTTACTTTGGAATCATTGCAATTTTTGTGTGCTCGCGTCACTTTCATGAAATATCCCGCCACCGAAAGAGCAGTCGAAGAAAGTGGAAACGAACGAGCGCTACCAAAAAGAAAATTAAAATCGAAGAAAGAAAAGTCAAATGGACTGCAAGTGTACAGCAATCACCAAACTAACCAAAGTGGTGTATAAAATGCATTGCATGCAACATGTGGACGCGTGCTGGAAATTTGCTGTATTTGTTGTATTTGTTTGTTGGCTGTCAGGAAAAAGCGATCGCTGATCAACGATCAACGCATTGTCACTCGTGGCGCAATGGCAAACATGCAACATGAGAATAATAACAACAACAGCATCGCGTTGATAGCAGCAAAAGGCTGCTGAGAGACAGGCAGCAGTAGCCTGATAGGTAGCACCAAACAGCTGTTGCATGCAGCTCTAGTCTAGTCTACTGCAACAGTAGCCATTTTGTACTGTTTTGTTTCACCGCTGTCAGAGCAATTATAATTGCCACATCGACCGCTGACTGCCATTGCCAACGAAAAATAAAAAGTCAACAAGTTAGATAGCCATTTTCGTCTTTGACCATGTCCACCAAGTCAAAAACTAAAATTCATTCAGCTACTCCTTTTTTCATTCTCTCAGTCGCTGTTGCACTCATTGGCTCTATTTCAGCGCTCTATTTGGCTTGTTAGTGAAATTCGGTTTACTTTCGTTCGCCTTTTGTAATTTTATGCTAATGTTTTAGTTTCAATCCTCATTATAATGTGTGTGTTTGTATACATGTTTCAAAATCTCTTCAGTTCTACGGCTTAGGCTAAGGTCAGTGCGCAACTTGATTTATTGAAGTTAAGGACAGACTTATATCAAAATGCAATGAATGGAATAAACATTAACTTCGGTTAATCGTTATTTGACTGTTCAGTTTGTATGGCAGCTATATAATATAGCAATCTGATCTGAAAATTTTCTTCACAAATTGTAGCGTTGCCGCGGACAATAATTCATGCCAAATTTCGTGAAGACATTTTGTCAAATAAAGAAGTACTTCACGTAAGAACTTAATATTGCTGAGCGATCAATATTAAGTTCTTGCATGAAATGAAATTTGTATAGCAGCTCTATGATATAGTGATCCGATCTTTTTTCGGAGATTGTACCGTTGCTTTGGACAAAAATCTATGCCAACTATCGTGAAAATATTTCGTTAACAAGAAAAAACGTTAGCTTCGGTTGCACCGAAGCTATAATACCCTTCACAAATACAAAGGCCTCTTACAAGAACTTGATTTCGAACGTTCAGTTTGTATGGCAACTATATGCTATAGTGATCTGATCTGACCAATTTCTGCGGAGAATAATTTGTTGCCTTAAGCGATAACTCGTGCCTAATTTCGTAAAGATACCTCGTCAAATAAACAAATTTTCCATGCAAGCACTTTACTCCGATCGTTCAGTTAATATGGCAGCTATATGCTATAGTCATCCGATGTATACAATTTCTTCGGCGATTAGATTATTGCCATAAATATTAATCCATGCCAAGTTTCGTGAAGATACCTCGTCATATGCAAGAGTTTTCCATACAAACACTTGATTCTGATTGTTCAGTTTGTATGGCAGCTATATGCTATAGTGGTCCGATATCGGACAAATGAGCAGCTTCTTTGTGAGAAAAGAACAGGTGCGAAATTTCAGATCGATAGCTTAAAAACTGGAGGACTAGTTTGTATATATACAGACAGACTGACAGCCGGACATGGCTAAATCAACTCAGCTCATCATGCTGATCATTTACAAGTATGTATATCTGATAGTGTCTCCATATTTGATAGGGTCTCCGACGTTTCCTTCTCAGTTGTTTAAACCTTGTGGCAAACTTAAAATATTCTGTTTATCGTTTAAAAATAGAAAATTACTAAAGCAATAGAGCGAGCAATGCAAAGCAATAAAAAGTACAAATCTGTCATTGCCAGCAATAAAGATGTTACTTGAAACTTTCAATGAAAATACAAAATACTTATTTTATATTTATACTGTGCTGGAATATGAGACCGATTCATAATTGCTTCAGCAGGTGAAGCCAATGTGTACACTTAAATCGGCAAAGACAAAATCAAAGACTTGTATTTTCAAATGAGAGTGAATGAAAGTGGTGCACCAGAAGGAATAAAATCTTCAGCCGACATTACGCAAGTATAACGAAATCAGTAAGTACAATAGCTAGTGCTTCCAATTCGCTAAAAATTTATTGATGCGGGTAACAGTTTAATGTGGCAACACTCATTGCTATTGTTACTACTGTTGCCGTTTGCTAAATACTGCAAAAGCGGTTCATTCATCTAACAATGAGTAAAACCCCATATGTTTTCCTGTGTGTGTTGACCGTGGCAGATTATTAAGCTGTTAACGCTTTCATGGCAGTGCTGTTTGTTGGTCCAAGCGGGCTTTTCTTGAGCTCTCGGTCGAACAAATCAAAGTCGTCTGTTGCCACTGTTGTGCCTCTCGTCTGCCACGGCGTGCATTAGTGTTAATGCGTCGCTGTGTGGCAACATACAATTTGGTCAAGAAAGCACGGCGACTTTCAAAGGTTTTGTTTTTATTACCTTTACAACAACAATAACAATTGTCGATTCGCGTTTTGTAGTGACTGCTGAAATTACACACGTATTCAAGCGCAACGCGTGCGCATACGTAATATGTTGCTCAAGTTGCATATGCCCCTCGCAATTACAAGCGATTTAATTTAAATGGTTTCATTGCAACAACGGACTTATACTGCATTATTGCGTGATTAACTGAAGCGATTCACTCATCTTTACGCTGTCTCTTTTCGGTTTCATTCAACCGTCCTGGGTTGCATGCAAGTGCTTTTTTAATTATCTCTTTCTGCCGTCTGCATTTTTTTTTTATATTTATGCCGTTTACATTTTTGTTTTTGAGTGCCTCTGGACGTCTACATTTACGCCTACTTGCTGTTGTAACTGGTTGTTTGGATTTCGCACAGGAATTTCACTGGGTGTTGCCCGTAAAACGGTAATGCATTTCATTTAAATTTATTAAATATGAATATAAAAATATTAATTTTCGTACGTGGCTGCAATGTGCTGCGCCTGTGGTCGTAACGGCGGTAAGCAATCAGATCTTATCGAAAATAATATTTTTAGGATGGGCTCATTGTCAACCGTATCTTGCTTAAGTGTGAGTTTGTTGTAAAAATGCAATTTTAATAAATTTTTGTTTACCCATTAATTTTTGATTGTTTGCAATAAGAAATAAATAATATACAATTTTACACAATATTTATATACATTTTAAGGGCTTTAAAAATAGAGCGCGTAAACATAATAAATAACGTTATTTAATTAATGTTAGCAAAAATCAAACGAATTTTAGAAGTACTTTACTGTAGGAGGGTAATTTTAAAGTAACCTTATTTTCGTCAATTTAGATATAACTAGTACGTACATTTTGGCTAAATATTGATAGTTTCATATCTTTGCTTACATATTGAATAAATAATTAGCTATCTTCAAATTATTTAAGCTCAATTTGAGACACAATTACAGCTCCACTTTTCACCATTTTGGCTGGTTTTCAGCGTTCAACAATTAAATCTTCTGTACCGTAGATCTTATCACCATGACTTCCAGGAGAATCTATAGCGTTACTAATTAGGCGATACTTGGAAACGGAAATTGTGCACATTTTTTTTTATAATAATGCGCAGATCATTAAATTTAGTTGCAAGAGTTCAACCCTTGTTTTCTTTTCATTCTCTTACAAGCTTCTCCCATGCCTTACGACATTTGCTCAACTCCTTCAGGCGGTCGCGCATTAATGGGTGTACATAACTTGTGAATGTAGGTCAATTTGAAACAAAATCAAAAGAACATAAGACGCCTATGCGCTTGCGAAATCATAATTTGCGGTAAGTTTAAGCAAATTAAGCCTCCGCTTTGCGCAGAGCGCTTCATATAATGCGAAAGTGGTTTCTTGCGTTTGTAGCTGTTGCTGGTGTGACAATAAATGCAAAATATGGCACAATTATTTCCGTCGCAAAAAGCGAAAATTGCAGCACAACAACCAATTTCGGCGCGAATAACGGCACTGAACTAGCGATGGCAACATGCACTATTTGTCATAATAAAAACGTTCGCACAATAGGCGCGCCGCCGACATCGCCATTTGTTCAGGACATACACGCCATTTAACTTACGCCGCTCGTTGTATCAGCCTTTGGGTTAGTTCACCGTGACGGGATACAACGTGCCCTGTCGTATACTTTAATTCGGTCGCAGTGCTGATGCGTGGGCAGCCAGCGCTATGACACATTTTATCATCATTAGTTGCTTTACTGCTTGCCATTCGCCCCATATGTACGTATATTGTTGGCATCAGTTTCTACGATTGCAATGTTTTTTTCGCTTTCCTCGTGATCGCTCACGAGGGGCGAGCTAAGTTCAGAGCATGGCCTTTTGCTATTTATAATAGTTTAGTTATAGTTAATGCAACAAAGGCTTCAGCGACATAATCACCAGTGGCAGGGACCGATACACACTTAGGCGTCGGCGTGGGACATTGCGTTGAACTCGGTGGCACAGAAGGCGTTTATAGTCGCTTGATTGTGTCAAGTTGTCGTGGCTGGCCTTATTTTAACTCTTTCCTTTATTTTTTGAGAAAGTGCCTCTTATTGACAGTAATATTTAAACTTTTGCATTAATTTGCTTAATGTAATCAACGCGTTATTTGATAGATCAAATGACAAAAAGCGTAAATATTAATGTTGCTAACCAAATGTATGCAAATCCTTACTTTTGTTTTCTATAGACTGTTATATTATATATGTATACGAGCAAATCAAAGAAAAATTTTATTTTAGTTAGTCATTTCAGCCATTCACAATTTTAAAACTGATTTAAAATAAACAAAACAAAGCTTGGTAGCATTGAAGAAGGCGGTCATTCAACTTTAATGAGGTATCCGCAAACTCTTGTTTACATAAAGTTTTTCTGGCAAGTGAACAGCGCACAAAGATAGCGAGCATAGAAATGGCGAATCGAAGACATCTTATATTTTACTTTAAGAGTATCTTTTAACATTCATTAGACACATAAATATGTAGTATGTACCTATTTATATATTATATTTCCATCCTATTGGATATGTGAGCACGCGTGTATTCTTGTTTACATGATCATTCCAGTTGACAGTGTTAGTTGACATGCGACACGATGGGGGTAATGTACCCATTAAACATTCAGTATTTACGATACAAAAAAAAAAAAAATAACGTGAACCGAATTGCGAAAACAACGCGCCGCATAAACGTGTGCGCAAGCGCGTGCACATGCGCGTGCGCAATTTAAGCTTTATGGCGACATAAGCGGATTTGTGTGGCATGAACGCACATTCAATAACAAAATGCAAAATAGCAACGCTTGCTTTAGCTTAACTGTGAAAAAATTGTGCGAAAAAGCTAATGGCATAAACGCAAATCTGACGTGGACACACCAACATGGGTAAACACAAACAAACCTTGCGTAAATGTGCATATTTTACTTTCAGTATTTGCTCTAACTTTCAATATTTACTGTTATATATACGTACATGACAAATAGGAAAAATGATTGCAAAATTTCTGAAATTTGAGAAAAGAATGTGTAAATGTTTCAACTCACCTCTACTCGCTCTAGATACTCCTGGAAGGCCGTGTACGAGTCCTCGCCGTCGTCATCAGTCAAATCGCGCACCACAGCTAAATCGAGATTGTCCAGAGTGGCGGCCAATTTGCGGCAGTTGTCTGCCGTCGCGTCACTCGTAGCGTTATCAGCTGACATGGCCGCGTTGCCAATGCGGTTGACCGCGCAGCCTATGCCACCGTCACTTCCGCATTTCGCGTTATTGCCACCGCCAGCACAGCTGTTGTTATTGCTGTTGATGCTACGCCGTGGCATGGTTGCATAACCGGTGCTGCGTACCTGACTTGAGCCGGCTCTTCTTGTCACAGGCGTCGAAGAAACTGCTGTTTCAGCCGCCGAAACTGAAGTTGATTGAGGCGTTGCGGCTGCTCTCGAAGTAGCTATTGCTGTCGCTGTTGCGGTTTCCGTTTCGCCTATCACATAAGTACTTGTATTGCTGCTGATGACAGCAGCCACTTTGTTATGCTGCTCGCCGAGAGTGGTATTCGGCTTTGCTTCACTTGTTCTTGTCATGTTTTGGTTGCCGTTGCTCTGAATTTGCTTGTGATTCTGTGCTTGTTGCTGCTGTAGCTTAATTGAGTTGTCATGATTACGCGTTTGTTGCTCTGTTGTTGGCGAGAGAAAATATTGCAAAAACATATAATTAAGTGCTTGCCAGCAAATTGAAAATATACAAAATACAAATTACTGGATAATTAGATAAAAGTGAGATAAACTTGAAAATGCAGTTTACACCGCAGTTCATTTCGTACTCTCGGCACCAGCACTTTGGCTTTCATAAATTTCACTTTAATCGGTCAACTGACTGCGTGTTCTTGTGGAATTATGCCGTTCCTATCTCATTTCGCTAATTTACACAAGGACATACACCTGTTAACATGTGCCAATTTGTGCTCACTTGCCGTTGCTCCGAGTTCATAAAGCTTGCCCCTGCTGCCATCAGCCATATTGTTGCATGCTACCGGATAACTGCTCACTAAAATTCCAAACGTATGCGAATATGGTCACTGATGTCACGTATGGAATAGCGAAGCATACATTTCGTGCATCGTGTGTATATAATGTACATACGAGTCGTACCTTGTCAAAATATGGTTTTTTTCCAGCGACTACTGTCAATAACCACTAACTCATTGGCAGTATTCTTCGAAAATGTCTTCATTAATATTATATTTCAAAATGTATGGCTAGTATAGTAGTTTCTGCCTTTCTCAACCCAAAAAACTAGCAGAATAGAGCACAAGTTGAGAGTTTTGAGCTTTCACCATCAGATATAACTAAATTATAACCAAAATTGAAAATAATGTATCATTAATTGTAGGTGTTTCGTTCGTTTTTTCTTTCTCCTGAAAATTTGTAAAAAGTGATGATACCTTATTTTACAAATATATTTTACATGACTATACATACGTATGCATGTATGTACGGATTATTATTGGCGCATAGCATGTAACACTTTTGTGTATGTGTGTTGCTATATAAAGTTATTCGATTTCATTGCGCATGCGTGCGTTCGATTAACTCTTGATTAAAACGAAGACAATGCAGACTATGACAGCCATGCTGGCGAATCGGCCGATGGCTACGTCTGCCGCCAAATCATTTTCATTAGTAACTGAGTGACCCTTAATGGAAGGCTGATGTTGCTCGCGTCAGCCACTCGTTACACAATTCATCCGCCGACATCGTAAATCAACGGACGCAATAAGACGCTTACCAAACACATACAAACACACCAGTGTAAACATTATATACAATTTTAGGGCCACCATGTAGTAAATATATTTATATTATTGAGTTGTGTATGCTGTATGTGAATGTTTACTCTGTATTTATTCATAAAATTAGTTAGGAAACATACCAGTTTCTAACTAGTATCTATATTAAATCTAACTGAGTTAGAAAATTTTAAAATTATTTCAATTCTAGAACAACTTTCTGTTTTGGTTTTAATCACATAATTTTATTTTTGTATTCCGGAATTTGGCTTGGGCTGGCCCGAGTTTCACTGCTGTGAAACTGCTCATATTTGGATCGAATCTGACAATGGTTCTCTTCCGCACTATCCTCGTAGAACCTCTACGCGTGATTGAATTAGCCAGTTGCTTACATGGCTAACACAACTACTTGATTAATTGGTTTTGTTACTAATACTAGTTGTCAAGTTGCTCATAACTAGTTGCAAACTAGTTGATCTGACTGCTGGGCACATATATACATATGTTTGTTTGTATATGCACGTACATACACAGCGATCACCTCAATTGAAAGAGTATAACAACGCCGGATTTTTGCAAAAGTTTACTCTTTTTCCCGTTTGCCCGCCTCAATTTAAAACGAGCCGCTGACTGGGAGGTCTGCTGTCTCGCCGGTCAGTTTCCGCGTCTTCCGCTTTTCTTATTCGTGCTGGCATGCATTGATTTTCAACTTAATAGAAGGAGTAAACAGCGACCAACAGCATAAGAGGAGTCTCATTGCCAGAAACTTTAAAACTTTAGGTTTTAGGTGCTTGTTGCACAATTGCTTTATTTTATTAATGGAATTTATACCCATCTTTGAGATCATTGTTTGACCATAGAAGCAAAGTTGAATAAACATCTAAATTAGCGCAACTTGTTATCTCCAGTATATGCTCAATAATTAATTAAATTAATTAAATTTTTTTTCAAATCTAATTTTAAGTATATGAATAAATAAAATGATCTTAAATAGGTACAGCATAAACATATATATGATTTTATGCGTTTAGTTTACGTAACTAAAATGCAATATAAACTTTGCTTTGCATATTCGCCAAAAAATTAAAAGTTACAAATAGATGGCCGCACAATAATTGTTGTATGTACACAATTTCACAAACAAACATACGTATAGTATATAAATTAAAATGATTTTTTTTACATGTATACCAGTATACCATATGTATATACGAATCTATACATATATTATTGCTGTAGTCCAATCAGCGATCTCTGCGCTGTGTCTGGCATGGGGGCCAACGCTGAAACGGCATTATAATTGACTTGCAAATGTTTAAATTTCAATTACAGCTTTTTAAAGCTCAAACCAATTTAGCAGTAGCGGTGCGACTTGTAAACAAAAGAAAAAAATTGTTTTGTTAAACACTTATTTTTGTTTACTTATTACGTTGTTTTTTTTTAACAAATAAATTTTTAACAGCTTTTTTATGCGATGCTAGCAAAAATGGGTGCGTCAGGCAAAACAATCTAAACATTTTTTACGGAGAATTTGATTGGCTATAAAATTAGCCGCCTTGGGGCAATAAACACAAATGACTCTAAAAACAAGAAAAAAACGTTCACTTCGGTTGCACCTAAGGTATAATATCCTTCACAAATACAAAAGATTCCTTCAATTTTAAATTGATTCCGATTGAACAATTGTTTGTATGCTCTAGTTTCTAGATATTATACATAATCATTGGCCACGAACCATGAAGGGAAAAAAGCAACAACTTTCAGGTTCAAAACTCTCCGCAATTGCCGACGAAGAACACGAATTTCTTGATTAACTCTAACACAAGGTCTTGCGCTTTGGATTTTGTCGTACTTGTAACGAGTACAGTCAATGCCATTATTACATTTTTTAAGACCTTTTTATAAAAATCACGGAAAATAAGTGAGATATTTCAACTACAATACATTTCCTTGTCCTCTACATTCTCCTTAGTCTTATAATTTAGTCCAATTAGAAACCGTACCACTCTGTTAGAAGGCAAGCATATAAAAAAAGGATCTGCGTTAATATGAAATGTTCGTAATCGGCGAAAAATAAAAAAAAAGTTCCATCTCCAAAAAAATTTTTGGAACGAATAATCTGGAATTTGGCAACCATTGTTATCGGGCCAAATAATATTCTCCAAAGAAGTATCAAAAGCAAACAAGTTTCAACTTGGTTCATAATATTTGAAGAACAAAATCTCTTCCGATTCATTTAACTTTCATTATTCATTTTCGTACAAATTCATTTAATTTATCGTAAAACCTGACGACCTTACTGTTTTAATGATTTCTGCAGCCGGTATTGATTGATTGTTTTCGCTGAATTTCAAACAGAAGTCGCTGATTGCCTTTGAACTATTGTGTATCTGTATACATATACTCGTGCGTATAGTATAGATATAAATAGATTTATACGGAAATGGTGTGTTACCTGAGCGCTTAAGTCCGCACAAATGATTGCTCGCAATTTGTTCGCAAACTTTGACAATTGAATATATCTGTAAGCTTTTGAAGACTTACTTATATAAACAGAAAGTGGTTATACTTGTATGTTTTGGATGAGTTAGAGAATAAAGTAAAACTATTTTAAAAATGCGTAAAATTATCACTGATAATGCAAAGAGTAATGTTTCTTGCCGGATGTGTGTAACAAGGAACTATGGGTGTCCAAAAGTAAACAAATTTGTCATTTATACTTATACAAGTCCAGCCATAAGTTCTGTTACAAGTTCAAGCCGTTATACAAATGGAATAGTTTTATTTAATAATGCGATATTAAATGCGCGATGTTCCAAATTTTATTGGAAATTGCCTCCTTTTGCTTTTACACAAGCTCTCAAACGATTCGGTTATTTATCGATAGCAACACGCACAATTTCCATTGAGGACGCTGCTCGAACCAAAGATTTTTTGAGACTCTCTAAATTTCTGTAGGGTATGCTGAGTGGTTCTTGCTTGTGTGCTGAAGCATAATCTTTCTGAAAGATCCAATGCCCTACATGGAATAGAGTTTTACTTAACTGCTTTAACATGCCTTCTACAACGCCCTGATGGGGCACTTTTGCCTCAGTTTTATCTCCCTTTTCACAGAAGTAGAGAGGTGTAACGCATTTAAAGTTCCCCATCAAATCATTAAAGCAGCACAATCTGATGACCATGTTGAATCTTTGGAATAACATTTTTTCATTGTTATTAAACACTTCTTAAATAATGGAAACTGTTTCATCGGTCAAAAATGACACTTTCATGGCCATTGACCGCGTGCCATTGACGAAGCCGCTTGCATCGGTTGAGCCTAATTTGCTTCAAGCGCATTGTCAGAAGATGACCGATATATCCATTTGTCTTGACAGAATTTTCTGTTTTCTAAGAGGATTTCTGCAAACAGTTTTTATGGCAGTACGATACGATTTCCTTTAGCTTCCACAACAAAGCAAACAACGAACTGATTATTATACAAGGTGCAATTCAAAAGTTTCAGGACTTTATTAAAAAGAATATTATTTGTTTTTGAAAAATTATTGGTCGCCTTTAAAATAGTCTCCTTCCGCTGAATACAACGCTTTGCACGTTCAAGAAGGTTATCGAATGACTTTTAGGCATTTGTCGGTATAGCGTTGAGGATGGCGGTCGTCGCCTTTTGGATGGCATCAACGTCAGCATAGCGGGTTCCTTTCATGGCCAAATGTAGTCGCACGGTGCCATATCAGGTGAATACGGGAGTGGTTGATGTTAAAATTTGATTTTGGTCAAATAATCGCCACATACGTCGATCGATGAGACGGCGCATCATCGTCAACAAAGCCAACTTCCATCTTCGCGATATTCGGGCCGAATGCGACGAATACTGCTACCAAACGCTT